AGCTGGTTTGTTGTAGAGTGTGCATTTTTTAAATACACTGTAATCATTTCAGACCACGTAATTAGAAACACAAAGCAGTTTACTGAAACATAGTGATATATTAAGAGTTCAGTTAATTACATGTAAAGAAACAAGACAGACTTCAAAACCTTTACTCAGTTTCTCTTTTATTTGCAACTGGGGCATGTTGATGGGACTTTGCCTGCTTAACATTGAGTAGGAGTTTCAGAATTTTAACCTGAGGGTAAAATTTTCAAAAGCATTTAAGTGACTGGCTCCCTGAAAATCAATAGGACTTGCACTCCTTAGGGCAACATTTTAGAAAGCATGTAGATAACTGAAGTCCAGTTGACTTCAGTGTCTATGTATATTTAAAAAATCCTACTTTATTGCCTTAAATCTCGTTAAAATAGAAGTGTTACATTCCAATGTCACCTAAGAGTTTCAAAAATGTTACCCCAAATAAATAAGCTGTTATTCTTATATTTTTTCATTTGTAAAACCCTGGTTTGTTTTTTCTTTCTTCTTCAGCGTATGCAGAAAATCATAAAACATGTTTTGGACTATAATAAGCCACATTGTCTTCAATCTGGTCCTAAAATCTTAATGCAAATACTCAAGAAGAGGTGGCAGTTATAATTAGTGCAGACAGTTCTTCACTCTATCATAAATTTTCCTAGTATTTCAAAATAAACTTAAATATTTTCCCCTTTTCAGACTATTTAATGTCTTTTTTGATAAAAGTGATAAATTGCTTCCTTTGAAGCCACAGCCTGACCTAAATTATTCTGTCTACATTATGTATAAGAGCAAGTAGAAAAAAATAAAATTGTAATACAAAATCTTAGGGAGATGAAGAGGACATAAATCAGAACTAATTAGTCATTCTCATTAATGAGAATATATATTATGATTTCCATTGAATCTCTCAAATGTAATTTACTGAGAAAATTAAAAAGTACCACTTAGTATAGAAAAGCCTCAGTATTCAAAAAATCTTTGGTTTGAGAATTTGCGGAGGGGGGGAATCTTGCTTCTCTAACATGTTTTCTGTATGAGCTTTAAAACTATGCTAACTTGTTGCACAACGGCTTACAAGTTCTCAACAGTTGCATTTATTACAATTTTACCTCACTTTCAGACAAGTTCTCTTATCATGCTCCAAATCACATTTTATGCTGCTTTGAAGTATGTTACTAATATGCTCATTGCTTAACAGAAAATAGCCTGACAGTCATTTCTGTTTTAAGGTGCAAAGTAATAAATGTCAGTTTCTTTTTTGCAGTCATTTATCTGAGCCTGTACTTATTCTCAAAGTATCTGCCTTTGGAAGCAAGTCAGAAGTGCAATGTTCTAATGGTCTTCTCTTCGGGACTAACAATAAAAATATTAAAACAAATTCTCAAGCTTTCTTTCCGTGCAGCCTTCATTCTAATTTTCCTGCCATTATTAAAACTGGGCAGGCCCAAGTTTTATGAAAAATTGGGAATTCCTTCGTATTTTGTGCGTGTTCATTGATGATGTGGGTTGCAAAGACAAGGCTCACTGGCAGTCATTTGTACTTGTCAGTGCATACCCTTCTATTCCCTGTGGCTGTTTTGTGCTGCTAGACAGGTGTGTGCACTCCGCACAAAACTTTGCCCTTTGGACATCATTATAGTGTCTAAGAAACATGGAGGATGGGATCCTGACAGACTTATAAATGACCATGAAGAAGGGAATTCTCTTTTGGGATCTTTACAGAACGTAAGCCTTGTATTATTATTCTGCATCCATTGAAACAACTGTGGGGTTTTCCATCACAGAAAATGGAGAAAGCAAGATGTAAGGTGTGGATAACTCTGGATACCATTCTCTCTGAGGAGTGAAGCAAGGCTGCTAAGATACAAAAAGCAGTTAAGGTGAAAAAAGTGTGCAGTTAAATTTAGCACTTTATCCCTGGGTACAAGTACAAACATTTAAATTAATCTGGTTAATGGGTTTCTTCCTTGTGCCCACCCCACCGTCGCCTTTCAAGGACCTGACTAAACAATGGCCTTTACACCATGCCAAGCAGCAGAACGGAGGGACCCTTAGGAGCAGTGAAATTCAGCCCTTCATGCTGAGCATCCAACCTCTCCAGACACTTGGGTATAGTCGGTACACCCTGGCTGATCTTAAGCGTCATAATGGAAGATAAAGAAGAGAGAATTTATTGCCTAGGACTCAAAGCATATAGGGTTTTATAGATCAATAAGAACATCCTGAGTTATGCCCAGAAGCAAAAAGGAAGCCAGTACAGACTTCAAAGACCTTGTGTAATATATTCCTTATGGCCAATATTAGAGATTAAGCACAGAGCAATGTTCTACATAAGCCATTGCATCTGACTAGAATAAGGACAGGCTATACATTGCATAAGTCTATTTCAGAGGCTACAAAGGTAACTTACAGCCTTTACCTTCAAGAACTTATCACAGTCATCTAACTAATGATAGCAAAAGATATTTTAAGTCTAGGAACCTGTTCTGAGCTAAGCATTCAGAAACACCTTTTGATTGTGAGGTTCGCTCAGGAAGAATAACCAACTTTGAACAGCATCCCTTCCCCTCATGCGACTTCTAATCTCTCTCAGGAAGACTCAGAAAAAGTGAAAGACTGCAAGCTCTAGGTTTGACAAAAGAAAGTATAAGTCAAATTAACTGACAAACTCCTCAGAAGCCTGCTTACCTTTCAAAGCAGGGAGGTTGACAGTACTGACCAAGGAACTGAAATAATGAAATTTTCGTACAATACTTGTAACAAGTGGAAAATACAAAGGGAATTAAATTAATGTCCACTCTGTGTCTAGTGCACAGAAAAATGAGGTAATCTGTATTATCTTCCCTGTGGCAAATTCAGGGCCAAACTTTTCCTTTACAAAGGTTGTTAAGAGGCTTGTCTTGAGGTCTTCCTTCTCTAAGTGACAAGACCAAGGGACAAACTTAATGGTTTCATATTGCCCAAATTTGAACGGATGACTTTTAGCTTTCATTGTAAGCTGAAAAGGTTGAGGTTTAGCAAGCTCCTTGCAGACCCAGTCCTATAGCCACTCCAAAGTCACGTAAATTTTTCCCGTGAGAAGATTATATGCCTTATTTCAAAGAAAACAGCTCTCAAGGAAACTTCTGACTTTCCCAAGTCTCATCTAATGTGGGAAAATCTTTCTACTAGGAAGAGGTCCCCTGACTGGTATCCACTGTGGTACTGTGGATAACTGGAAAATGGGTGCCATGCTTTTAATTATATTGGCTCAGTTCAGCACAGAGACTGTCCTGCAGGGAAGGTGAGATGTGTGAAGATCTGTATGATCTGCAAATGTGAGAAAAAATTAAGTAGGACTTGAACATAGACAAAGTAGACCTTTGGTTAGCTGCTGTTGGAGAGAAATAATGATCAGAAATTAATGGTCTCTAATGTACATATCTTCTTTGATAATTTGCTTAATGAAACTTTTGCTTTCTACTTTTTTAAAAGGGAAGGTAAAATGCACATCTTTGCTTTTGTGGTTAAATAAGTCGTTCCATGAGAGTTTTGTCAGGGGTTAGCAATGATCCCACTCCTCCATACATTACTCTGCTGAAAGATCTCACTCTGCCTTGCAACATTCTTGTTATTCCAGAACTGGGTTGGGCCAGTCATAATAGATGCAGGCAATCAACTCAACTTCCCCACACACAGCTCTGCCAGTAAAACTCACTTCACCTTGCAACACTCCTGTTTTTCCTGTGTCTTTTAAGCGAAGGCGAAATCCAGGGTAACTTTCTTAGTGATGCAAGAGGGAAGTGTTGGTGATACAGGCAAATTGTCTGCTTGTGACTAGGATGAAATAAAGTTGTCTTCTCAGAATGACTGAGAGTTTGACCCTGTCAGTAGAGGTAACTGACCCATGTTCCACTTCTGCTTTGATGACAGCAAATAAAATCCAGGATTACTCTATAGAGATCAACTCAGTTACAAGAGTGTAAGTGAGATTAGAGCCTAACCTTTACATTATGTGGGCTCCTGCATGGTTGTGCTTTTTCCCAAGAAAAGGGTTTCCTTTTAATCAGAATACTACAGCTTTCCTTGTTGATCACTGTTGTTTTATTTGTAATGAAAATCTATGGAGCATTCACCATGATGCAGACAAGCATTGGCCTACTGACAGCGTTTGGACTTGGGCCATGTAATTGTATGTAAAATCAAACAAGCGTGTGTCACAGTAATGAAAATAAGGCCTATTCTTTCCTCTTTGTTTTCTTTATCACACAAAATAATACATTAAAAAATATAAGAATGCTCCAGGCAATGTACAAAACTAAAAAAGACTAGTTTGGTGAATGAGCATAGTGAGAGGCTATGAATATGGATATGTTTGTACTAAGGAGCCTAGAGGAGATGCTTTTTATGCGTGGCAATACAGAAGTACATACTTGTAACTCTTCACACCAGGGAGAGAATATTCCCCTAAAACAAGTAGTTTCTCTAGCAGTGCTCCTTGTTGATCAAAGCTGCATAATTTAAAGCATCTAGAGGCAGCTTTAAATTATTCACTATATTTTTTTTTAAGTGATCTTGGTGTATAGCAGACAGCATTTGTGCAACTAGCAGTCTTCTGCATCCTTACGGAGCTGGCAAGTTTTCTGAAAGTCACACTGGAGAAGAGGGGACATAACTTGGCATAACAGGAGCAAGAGAGACCGATTCTGGCACCGTGTTAGTCACATCACACAAAAATGCCAAGCATGCAGGGCCATACGGAATGGCAGGGCCGAGCCGGCAGCCGCAAAGTCTCAGCCCGAATGCTGCTGTGCGGTGCCTGAGAGTTTCCTGATACCCTCAAAAGCCCCAAATAGGAATCCGGCAATTAGCGCATCTAACTCCTCCTTTACTGCAGTCTTCTCTCCTATTGGTAAAAGGTCTTCACAGGCTCATGTAGGGATCCCACCCCTTTTGTGGGTTTTCATTCTGAAGCTATCCACAACTTTACACCTGAATGAATGCCAAGCCTCTCTGAATATATAAAGGAAACCTTCAAGAGCAATTTCAGAGTTACCCAGAAGAAGCAGAAGAAAAAGATCATCCAGCTCTGTCAGACAGAGACTGAACCAACCATGCTTCTCCCTGCCATTCACTTCTATGGCTTTCTCCTAGCTTGCATCTTCACGAAAAGCTACTTGGCTTTCAAGAACGATGCCACAGAGATACTTTATTCACACGTCGTTAAACCTGCTGCGGCGAGCCCAAGCAGCAATAGCACGTTGAATCAAGCCCGGAACGGCGGCAGGCACTACACCAGCGCTGGATCCGACCGTAACAGTGAGTATCCCACCGGCGGCGCTTCCACGGCCTCC